GCCTTCAACGGCTGCGCCAACTCTCCAGCCCCCCCCCCTTTTTTTAAAAAAATATTATTTTATGTGTATGTGTGTATTGCCTGCAAGTGTGTAAGTGCACTTGTCCGGTTCGAATCCCACATGGCAGCTAACAACTGTCCCTAACTCCAGTCCTAGGGGATCCGACAGCCTCTTCTGACCTACGCAGGCATTGCACAACACGGGTACACTTACCTACATGCAGGCAATACACGCATACACATAAAAGTATTTTAAAAAAAGGTCTCATATACCTAGGTTGGCCTAAACTCACTATGTAGCCAAGGATGACTTGAACTCCTGATCCGCCTGCCCGCCTGCGTAGACCTCTCAAGTCCTGAGAGGAACAGGTGGTCGTGATCAAATCCACAGCCTCGTGCATACTAGGCAAGCATTACTAGCTACATCCCTAGCCTCAGGAACTTCTTTTAAAAAGTAAGCATTTAAAACTACAGTTTTCTCTTAAGTGCATTGTACTAAGTTTGAGTTGCATTTTTACTTTCTTGTGATTTCTTTGATGCATGTAGGAGTTTTGTTTTTGTTGTTACTGGGTTTTTTTTTTTAAATGAATATTATTAATATAAGAATAGTGACTTTCCACTACTGATTTCTAATTTAAGTTGGTCAGAGAAGGAAATCTGAATGACTTCTGGCTTCAAAACTTATCCAGGCTTTCCCCATTAAATTAATCTCCTTACCTGGATGTTCCATGCCTCATAAATAAGATGTATTCTATTGTGTTGGTTGGGGGTCTGATTTTGTTCTAGAGGAGAATATTTTTATTTTACTACATCAGCTCTGTTTAATCGACACCCTTCTTGAGAGACAGGGAGAGAGGGACAGGGTAATTCTTTCCTTAAACATTTAGGGATCACCATGAAGCCTTTATCTTGGACACATTGCTGGGAATTCACAGGGGAATGGGAAGGGTCTCAGGGATTATTGGGTTCGTGAAGTTATCCTCGGAGTTGAGGTCTGAGTTCTCCGGTCAGACTTCCCACACCAGCAGTGTGTGATGGGAGTTGTTGCTTGTCATGACTGTACCTGGGTGCTGCCAGCCTGAGCTGCTGCCCCCCAGATCAGCATCTTCTGCATTTCTACTCAGCCCCCCTGCAGATGTTATAACATCATGTCTAAAACAGAACTTGTGCCTGCTGCTCAGGTCTTGTGCCTGTCAAGACGTTGTCTCTGACAATCTAAGTAGCCCACATCACTGACTGCTGATAATATTGACTCTTTCAGATCTGTATGGAAGTTGATCATTTCTCACCACCTCTGATCACACTTGCCCTGGCAGCCTGTTCTCCACCCAGCACCAGATGTCACCCTTCCCAGGTCTAGCTCAGACTCAAAGCCAAGTGGCTTCCATACTCATAGGTGTCTTGTACCTGGATAGCCCCTGGCCATCTACCACTCTACTCCCAGGATTTTCTGCTTTCCTTCCTCTAGGCCTCATGACCCTGCCTGCTCCAGGGCCCTTGTACCTACTGGGCCTCCAGCCTTTCTGCCTACCCTCTGTGCCTTTGGCTACAATACTTCTTTCTCCCTGAAGCTCACTCATCTTCACACAGAGTAAGTCAAATGTGTTGTCTTATGACACACTGGAACACAGGAGAGAGCCATGGCCTGCCTGTAAGTATTTGCTGAAGGCCGCATTACTCTTGACGTGTAAGTGGGACTCAGTGGGCAAAGGGAGGAAGGGCAATTTGAAGACTGTGTGAAATAGGACTTGTTCTAGAAACTAGTACTGTAGCAAGCAATCAAGACACACTCTTACAATATGGACAGAATCTGGACTAATGCCTTTTATTTAACCTTGCATTAAAAAGCTACTCTAAAGTATAAACAAGTTCACTGAGCTATGTTCTCCTCTTGTGACCTGGGCATATGACTTTAATCCTTCAGGACCCCACTTTGCCCTCCACCCAAGTTAGGGGATGAATGCAGATACGCTTCTTTAACATATCAAAGCGCTGAAAGCAGTATGGTATTCTCATAGAAAACAATGAGAACAACTGAGAAGTCTGCCTGGTATCCTGTGTGTGTGTGATATTTTAGGCCTAGAGTTCAAAGGGCATGAGTCTCTGGTTAGATAGGAGTGGATCCTAACTGACTTCCTCAGTTGATGCTGGAGATACTGTTTGAACAGAAGTATGAGTGAAGCCTGGCTCAGGAGACAGCTCTAAGAGACATCTGGAGGAATGGGTGCCTCAGAGTTTGGGTCCACTCTTGGCCTTAAATGCTGAGCCAGGTTTAAGTTTATTCAGGTACAACTGTAATGTGGCTTACTAATGCCACAACTTCCCACGTTACTGTAAATTGGGAAGGGTTGAGGAGAGTGCTCTCCTCTGACTCAGGGCAGCTTGTTTGTATTTCTTAGTAGAAAACAACTTTCAAAAGCCTCAAAAATGGTGAAATCCACTTAGCATTTTATCCTCAAACAAAAGAAAATACAGATGAGTGCAATCCAGTTGGACCAGCTCCCAACTGATCATTTTAAAACTCAGAAAATCTGAGAGGTTTCTCAACCTCTTCAAATAAGTTCTTGACTTTTCAGGGAATCATTTGGATAAATTATTTCTAATCCTTCTTGCTTGGTTGAAAAACTAAGACAACCAAACATCCCTGATTAGAAACCAGTGACTGAGCCCAGGCTGCGTGTGAACTGCAGTTCAAGGAGCTGTTTTTTTCAGAGTGCTCTGGGTTGAGCCTCTTTGCAGTGTGCACAAAGAAAGCTGTTGCTGCAGTTGCCAGGGCGCCAGTGTTGGAGTGATTGAAACACATTCATGTCCCTTTTTTCCTTCCTAGTGAGCAGAAATAAAGGGTGCAGTGGGACTATTCTTGCCAATCCTTGGGGCTGCCACGGGAACCAGTAGTTGAATTCCCGACAGTTCAGTGTCCAGCCTTGCCAAATTGAGAACATAAAGGTTTATGTGGTCTTATGAAGGAGATTTCCATCGTGTGATGGTGGGGGACAGAGAAAGGCTGCTTGAAGAGAGATGTATGATGTGACCTTGGAATACAGTTCCCTGTTCAGGCCCAAGGCTGGTCAGGATGCTGGATACACTGGACTCTGTTCTCAGAAGTACTTTTCCTTCCAAGACAGCCAGCCAGCCAGCCAGTCTACAGTGAGTGGACCTAGGCTCTTCCTCTCCTCATCAGGTCAGGATAGCTCTAAGCCAGTGGTTACACAACCAAGGCAAATGTTTCTAGGATCCACTGACTTCATCTCATTGAAATTCAGGAAGCTGTGTGCCTGCCCTTGGCTGAAGTGCAGTTTGGCTGAGCTTTAGTTCTACTTTTGAATAGTTCTTGCCGGAAGCCCCTCACCCAGAGGCCAGCACTCCGGACAGCCGGACAGCAGCAGAGGTAAGCACAAAGGCACTCAACTGCCGAGTAGGTGCATCTTTTGCAGTCTTGTGGTTGGTCACCACCTTGCATTGAATAGGCATTGAATCCCTTTGTTTGGCATTCATGAAGTTGCTGGCGGGAGTTGAATGTACTGCAGCTGAGGACCCAGATCAATGACGTCTACAATCTCAGCCTGAATCTTAGAGGGATTTGGGGTGATTTTATTCACTTTTAGAATTAAGTGCTTATTTCTTCAGGTTCACAGCACTGTAAGAAGAGCATATTTCTTGGCTTTAAAAAGTGTCTGGGTTAGGCATGGTGCTGTGTATCTGTTTAGGACTTCAAGGCTAGCCTGGTCTACACAGTGATACTTTGCCTCCAAAAATTAAAAAGAATTTATTGAAAACAGCTGATTGCAGTTGGAGGTTTTTCCGTTGTCAGAGTCCTTGATTATTCCATTGCAAATGAAGGAATGCAACCCACTTCCACTTGGGAGTCTCAGCTTGGCTGTATGTCACTCTTTGTAGTGTGCCTTTTCCTGGTGCCATGACACGGGAGGGCCAGTTCAGGGAGGAACTGGGCTATGACCGGATGCCCACACTGGAACGAGGACGGCAGGACTCAGGACGGCAGGACACAGGCAGCTACACCCCTGACTCAAAGTCCAAGGACCTGCAGCTATCAAAGAGGCTTCCCCCATGCTTCAGCTACAAGACATGGGTCTTCTCTGTGCTGATGGGGGTGAGTAGCTCAACACCACTTCAGAGGGCGGCAGGCCCTCCGGGGCTGGTCATGTCCCAGAACATGCAGTCTCCTATGGCCTGTGAATCACTCTGTCCCAGGGGGTCAGGTGGGAACAGCTCTCGGGTTGGCAGAGTGCCTCTTGGGTACTGACATAATTATTTTGTTGGTGTCCTCTGAGTTACTTTTTTTTTTCTTTTCCTTTTTGAGATGGGGTCTCCCTATAGCATCTCCAGCTGGCCTGGAACTTGCTATGTAGACCAGGCTGGCCTCAAACTCACAAAGATCTGCCTGCCTCTGCCTCCTGAGTGCTGGGATTAAAGGTGTGCACTACCACGCCTGCATGAGTCACTTTTCTCAGTATACTATACTGTCCTACCAGGGGAAGGTAGTCTAGCATTACACTGAGCCCACAGGTCACCACTCAGATGGCTGCCATGACCTTGTGTTCCTGTACATGAATGGTCTATAAAGGTTGGAGGCCATTTCAGGTTTTAGGGTAGCTCTGTGGAGTGAATGACAAGAGTTGTGCTCTAGGACAGAGTCAGGGCTATGGAGCAGGAAGGGCTGTAGCACCATAAGGTCCATGGAGGCCATGGAGAACCCTGGAGAAAGCTAGGTTGATTAGAGAGAAAAGCCAAGCTATCCCAGGGTGGGGCAGTGCTAGCCACTTAAGGGAATTTGGGGCCCCGGGACACTTACACATAGATAGAGATAGCTGGGGAGCTAAAAGAGCCATCTGTCTCTGGGTATGAACAGTAGCTGAGGATGTCCTCCAGCAGGGTCTGGGTTTGTACAGCCTAGGCTGAGAACCCACGTCCAGACCAGGACCTCTCCCTTTCCACATCCCCAGCCCTTTTTTAGATGCCAGTTTGGATCAGTATCTGCAGAGGCCGTAGGGAGGGCCTAGGCCTGGAGTGGAATCCAGAAGCCTCTGAAATTACCTCCCTTTCTCCCCAAAAAACAGTGTGGCAGTTCGTGCTCTGACACCAGGGGAAGGGGAGGAGGAAGTCCATTTCTTGGGCTGTGTTGGCCCTCTGGCAAGGAGAGTCCCAATCGTGCAGGACCCAGGCACAGGCAGGGTAAATGCTGGGAGAGTGCTGGTTAATGTGGGAAAAGTTCAGTTGCAGTCAGAGGGCTGGCTGCCATGACTTCTGCTCCTGTGCAGGAATGGTCTATGAAGGTTGGAGGCCATTTCCTTGAGGTTCTGGTCTTCAGACAGAGCCAGTTAAAACCTGAATCTTTTTGTTCTTTTACAGAGCTGCCTTCTTGTGACTTCTGGGTTTTCACTGTACTTAGGGAACGTGTTCCCCTCCGAGATGGATTATTTGCGCTGTGCGGCTGGCTCTGTAAGTATGCTCCTTAGCCACATACACCAGCACCCTAATTCTCCATAGCATGTTTACATTTCTGTACTCTGGGGTTTGTAGGTTTCTGTTAACTGTTCCTCGTTCAGAAATTGCTCATGTGACTAGTTTCAATACTTTTGAACCTTATCAGGTCTGAATCTTATTCCACAGACACTACTGTGAGAAACAAATCTTTGGATCCTGGTGTGCTACAGTGTCCTGCTCCAGCCATCTTGGGTGCCGACAGGGACTCTGCACCCCTGTCCCTCCCAAATGTTGATGCCACATTTCTAGGATCTCATCTATTGCAAGGGGGCACTGTACTCACAGGAGGGGAGGATAGATAGCCACTGACACCCCATGCTCTGTGTCTCCTGCCTTCCAACTATCTGGCCAGATCAAGCATGGAAAACAGCATTCCCCCTGGGTCACTGTGGGGAAACTGGGCCATGGGGGCCTCCCCAGAACCACTCTTTAGTCCTTTGAGGTCTTGGATCCCCAGACTCACACCCTGTACCTTTTCCTGTTCCAATAGTGACTGGCCAGCACAGGTTAGGCTATGGAGAGCCTTTCCTTTCCTAGCCTCCTGCCAGGATCCCTGACCCCTCCTACAAGGCTGCTGCTGCTGACTGGCCCCATCAGTGGTCCCAGGTTTCTTAAAGACAAAGGACAGCAATTCCTTTTAGCCCTACACCCCAGCCATGTGTTTGTGCCTCCTTGGGCCTCTGCTCCCTTAGAGAGAACACGAACTCCCTTTGAAAGAACATGAACTCCTCCCTGCAGTTCTCTTTCTGGGAATGTCTACCTTGTCATCATGGGAGCAGCCCTGGGCAGGGTCACGGTGATTCTGATTCTGACCCAGATTGCTCCAGGGTGCATTGACCTAGGCAATGATTCCTCACTTCCAAGGGCAGGATGCGTTCACGCCTGCCTTACCACCCCCCCCACCCCCCCACCCCCGGCAGCTATCTCCTCAGATGTCAGTCTTGGGCCTTTGAGACACCTGATTGGGTCCCAAGCTGGGATGCAGCAGTCCCGTCCTCACCTTAGGCCAAAACAGGGAATTCTCCTGCCTTCCCCACCACCCACTGCCATGTAGACATATCCAGTGGCCTTTGCCCCTTGAGCTTCCTCCCCAACAGTCCCCATCTGCTGCTGCTTACAGGTGTGACACCATATGACCCACCAGGCCCAGGCTGGCTACTTTCAGCTCTCTTGACATCCTCTCAGGCCCTCCTTACTTGGACCTTGATGTGGCTTTGGAGTCACACTAGGGTCAGTGTGCATGGCCTGGATGACAGCCCCTATAATCATGGGACCCCTAAGTACAAGGGGACACTTTTGCTTCTGCTGCATACCTTTTCCTTTTGGATAATTCTTTGGCAATACTAAGTTGCATTCTGACTTCTAATCTCATCCAGCTAAATGCTATTTATTTATTAATTAATTCAATTGAATTTTTGAGACAGGTCTCTGTATAGCCCCAGCTGGCCTGGAACTCACTAGGTAGACCAGACTGGCCTCGATCTCACAGAAATCTGCCTGCCTCCCAAGTGCTGGTATTAAAGGTGTGTACCACCACACCTGACTTTTAAATTTTTTAAATACAATGTTTTTAATAAATTCTTTGAGAATTTCATACGTGCATACCATGTATTTTAATCTATTCATCCCCACTCCTCCCCCCCAGCTCCTTCCAAATCCACCTCAAACCTTCCTACTCCCCCTCAAGTTCATGTCCTCTTTTTTTTTAAATAACCCACTGAGTCCAATTTGTGCTGCTTATATACTCATGAGTGTGGGGCCATCCACTGCAGCATGGCCAATCCACCAGGAACTATACCCTTAAAGAAAACCGACTCTCCCTCTTCCAGCAGCCATCAACTATCAATAGCTCCTCAGTTAGGGGTGGGGGTCATGAGACCCTCCCCCAGCTACTGTTTTTAAATTAAGTTGCTTTGAAGTACCAAGGAATCATCAGGGTTCAGGGAGCCTTTGCATCAAGTAAACTAGAAATGATTCTTTGCTAGTATGACTTAGATTACTATAGAGGCTTAAACATTATGACACATTATTATCTGAATTTTATGTGGAGCTAAAGAGCAAACTCAAGGCCTCCAGCATGGTAGGCAAGAGCTTTGCTAATGAGCTATACCTGACCCCCAATGCACTGTTTCAAGGTTGCTACTGTGTCCAAGACGAGGCTCAGGTGAACCCTGGGCCCACCCAAGTTCTGGTTTCTTTTCAGTGCATCCCCTCAGCAATTGTGAGCTTCGCCATTGGGAGGAGAAACGTCAGCGCGGTAAGTTCAACCTTCTAAGCAACTCTGCAGACGTGGAGGCCCCACAGTACTCAGCTGTGGAGAGAACCTAGTAAGAGGGCAGGGCAGTCCAGGAGGGAAGCAGGCTGACATGTTCTGTGACTTCTTCTGGGGAGACATGAACAAAGATAAGGCACCCAGGACAGACTGTGTTAGTTACTTGTCTCCTTGCTATGACAAAATACCCAAGAAGAGACAGTTTACAGAAGGAAATGGTTTATTCTGGCTGACAGTCAAGGGGATACATTTCATCATGGTCGACGCTGCATCTGCAGTCAGGTAGCAGAGGGGAAATGCGAAGTGGGCCAGCCTGTAGGACTTTGAGGCCCACCCCCAGTAACCCACTTTTTCCAGCAAGGCTCCACTTGCTGAAGGTTCCACAGTCCTCCCAGATAGCACCACCAGCTAGGGACCAAGTGTTGGAACACGTGAACATTACAGGGGACATTGCATGTTCAAACCACAACACAGACCAATGAAAAGACCCCACTCCAGTCTACCTTAGTGAGCCAGTGAGTTTATCAGGGTTACTTACAGGAGCATCACAGAGAAGTTCCCCTCCCGCAGCCTGAGTGACAGCTCATGAAAGCTGCGCCCCCTGGAGCCCCCTGCACGACTTATAACTTAGCCAGTTGGGATGGCCCCTCTCCCCAGCAACTGTCACTTTTTATGTAAACTTGGGGAGTAGCCCTGTGAATCTTCTAGGTTTCAGGAGCTTCCTTATCCTTGTAAGTTTTGTTTACTTCTTGAACTGTGTAAGTTTTATTTCCTGAATCTTACAGGCTCACTCTCTTCCTCCAGGAGGAACTTTTTCAGCCGGGAGGAAATAGCTGTACATCAGTCAGGCATGGTGCGCCCATAGGTGTGCGGACATGCTGGTGGTGGAGCCCTAGAAGGCTCCTAGAGGCTGCCCTGCTCTCCTATGGCAGGGACCATCTCCATTCTTACAGTCATAGCCCGAGATTTTTAGTTAATTACCTAGAATTTAGATGCTGTCTTTATTATTTATTTTAAGGAAACTCTCCCATATTTTCCAGATTCCCAACTTTCAGATATTGTTTGTTTCTACATTTGCTGTCACCACTACTTGTCTAATCTGGTTCGGATGCAAACTGGTTCTGAATCCATCAGCAATAAATGTGAGTCACTGGAAAGAGATGTGGGTCACCCTGGAGTTCCTGTTTTTACCTGAACCATGTTTTTCCACTGATGTCAAATACTGGGGCTCTGCTCCCACTGCACAGAGTTAAACCCTGGTTGGAAATTCACTATAAATGTACTATGATATCTAGCCCTTGTTGACAAGTTTTGAGGATTTTGCCTGTGCTTCTGAAGGAAAGAATTGTCTCCAGTGAATTCTGAGTTGATGCCATGGGACAAATTTGTTGATAAATAATAGTGACTATTTCCCAATGGGCCTTAAAAGTCAATAGCAGCAGGCCTTTGGTACAGCTCAAGGGCAGAACACTTGCCCAACATATGCAATGCTCTGGGTTTTAGCCTGTCACCATGCATGTAAAAAATTTAATAGAAGCATAATGTTGTATTTCATCAAATCTACGATGCTATTCAGTGTAAAGCACATTGTCATTTTATGTACTAAGAAAAGTTGGAAAAATTATATAAATTATGCCTAAAGAGAAAATCTCACCAGAAATGAGGATGTCCTAGTTAGTCTTGTAAGGATATACATGGATTCAAGGGACACTCAGTCTGCTAAGTGCAGAAGAGATGGTTCTTGCTGACTGGACACTGGATTATTGAGTGCATGTAACAAGTGGCTGGATGTGAAAAATCAACATAAAACTTTAATTGTACCACAAAATTGAAAAGTTATAGAATTAAATATATAAAGGTGGGTATGTTAGCCCATGCCTATAATCTCAGGAGATGTAGAGAGAAGAAGATCAAGAGTTCAAGGTCATCCTTGGCTACATAGTAAGTCTGAGACCAGCCTGGGCTATATGAGACTATGTCTAAAAAATACCAAAAAAAAAAAAAAAACCCAAACAAAAAACAACTCCAAACAACTCATATAAATTTCCTGGGAGTGTGTCTAACTAGATGCCAAAATTATGACATTTCTGATTTAAAGATAGCCAGAACAAATGGAGTGTGTGACCATGAGACAGCACAGGTCACAGGGAGAGGCCCCCCTGCAGCTCCTCCTGCAGGTCTATGTAGGACATAATTGGGGGAGGGAGCATAAAACCCTTGAAGGACAGAGGGATCCATCCTCCCATAGCCGAGAGGCAGGGTCTTCCTGTAGCCACAGCTGGCCTAAAATTCGCTGTGTAGACCAGGCTGACCTCAATCTCACAGAGATCCACCTGCCTCTGCCTCCTGAGTACTGGAATTATAGGTGTGTGCCACTAACCAAGCTGGAAATGATCTTAATCACAGGCTGCTATTGTGGTTTTGGAGCTGCAGGGAGATTGACAGGAAATGCTGACCTAAAGTAAATGAAAGGTCATTTATTCTGAGCCAAATAGAAGTGACCAAGGCCTAGGAACACAAATTCAGGTTACCTTGAATGACTCTTCCACTGTGGAAGAGGTTACACGAACCTTTGTAGACATGGAACAACATAGCTATTAGTCAGTGAAGTCACCAGATGTGCTGGTGGGGGCATCAGGTATGCAAGCAATAGAGGACTTGGGGGAGATATTATAAAATTTTTAGCTTTAGGGCAGTAGAAGCTAGAAGTCTCCTAACATATTCCAAATGTTTTGCCTAGTAGTTACAAAGATGTTATGTCAGATACAGAGGTTGGTACTAAGTGACTATTAGGGGACTAGAGACAAGCCTGGTGATCTGGACTCTTTATCTGCAACATCCCAGCTCTCCACAGTCATGATGTTATAGTCATTCAATCAGTGTGTAAGCTCTCCAGCCCAGATGTGACTTTAGTAGAAAACTTTGGCTTCTAGGCCCAGTGGCAAAAATCAAGTCCTTATATAGCCATTCGGTAAGAGTGGTTTCAAAAAACAAGACCCTGGTACTTTCTGCCAAGCCTGATGATCTGAATTCAATCCCCAGGATCCACATGGTGGAAGGAGATAACCCTGAAAGTCATCCTCAGACATCCACATGTGGTCTGTGACATGCACCTCCCACAAATGAATAAATTTAATTTAAAAAATTGTATATATTAAAAAGTTTAACACATGCACACACAGCAACAACACAAGCAACCGTGAGGCAGAGCCCCGTGTGCCTGTGGTTTAGACAGGCCTGTGACAAGGAGAGCGGCTCTGGTCTGGAGTTACAACAGCATGCTTAAGGACAGTGGTGGCTTCCTGGAGGAAAAGACACTGTTGCTGAGCACCTGCTGTCTTTGCAGATAAACTTCAACCTCATCCTGCTCCTGTTGCTGGAGCTTCTCATGGCGGCCACAGTGATCATCTCTGCAAGGTCCAGTGAGGAGCCTTGCAAGAAGAAGAAGGTGGGTCTCCTACAGCAAATTCCTCAGGCCCCTCAGCTGGCCTGGTAGCAGGAGTCAGTGACAGGGAAGGGCAGGGAGGAGGTGACAGCACAGTGCCACTCTCCTCCCTAATGTCCTTGCCATCATGTACTGTCTTCAGGGGTGCAAAAGCAGGCCAGATCTGCTAAAAGTGTTGGTGAGCTGCAAATGTGATTCAACATGTCTACTCACAAGGGCCATGTCTGTATTTGAGCTGTTCCTCCAACTTGAAGGGCTATGGCCTTGAAGCTTCTAGAAGTCTGACCCTTTCCCATGGCAGCCCATGCCCAGCACACTGTGGCTCCACAAGGATTTTCTTCTCCTAGGGTTCCATCTCTGATGGTGGCAACATTCTGGATGAAGTGGCCTTTCCTGCTCGGGTCTTAAAATCCTACTCTGTAAGAAAAATCTTCTTTTTTGTTTCATTTTGTTCAAGACAAGGTCTTGCTGTATAGCCCAGGTTTACACTGAGTACTCAGTCCTCCTGCCTCAGCCTTCCAAGCTCTGGAATTATAGCATGAGCTGCACTGTGTTTGGCTGCTGCTCCTGATGGCTAGGCCAGCTCCATGTTCATCTCCCTCAGGCTCAGTTCTGCCTGTGAGCCTCACAGTAGATCAAGTTGGGGTTCCCACAGCCAGCCACCTCCTTGGCATTGTCCAGTGATTTTTTTTCATGGTCAACCTGAACATACCCAAGAAGGGCACTTACTGAGCCTGCTCTGGACAGGGCGGGGGACGGGTCCCATCTATATGCACTGCGTTCTGGGGCTTTAGGGTGTCGTCTCTCACTATGGGACCAGACCCTTGGTGTAGTGGCCCAGCAAAGTGACTTCCACTTTCCTCCAGGTGGTAGAAGTGATTGCTGGAGTCTCTGCTGTCCTCGGTGGGGTGATTGCTCTAAACGTGGATGATACTGTTTCAGGCCCACACCTCTCGGTGACCTTCTTTTGGATCTTAGTGGCTGTGAGTACTTCCTGGTTAGTTACCATGTATAGCTGGTCCAACCTCACAGTTATAGCCACAGTTCTGAGATTCCCTCCTTAGACCCTATGTGGCTGGTATCTGAGCACAGTGGCATTCAGAGAAGAAAGCACATGGGAGAGCCCCCTCCCCTTGAAGAATCTGGGAACTGAGAGTAAAAGTGTTCTTGTGCAATTTTATATCAATTGCTATTATAGGGCCTTTATTATTTTTCTAAGAAATCCAATTTTATATTAAATGCTGCTATGGTAAGCACAACATAGCCCTAACACATGGGAAGTATATAATACTTGGTCACTCTTTTAAACATGTTCCTTTTGTTATTCATTAAGGCATTCTAAATTTACCTATGTGACTTAATATTGTTCAGTATGTTGCCAGTGTGCTGGATTCAGGTACAGCTAAGGCTGGCTTTGGGCTTCTTGACACTCCTCACAACATTGGTTTAGAGTCTCTCCGTGTTCATCATTTCTGCATATCTTACATCTACTCCAAAATCAGTGTCCATCTTTGTTTTGTGTTTCCTGATATTGGCCACAGTGGCCATTTTCACCATGCCACTGGTGACCTGCCATTGGCCCTGGTTTGTCCTTCACAGCCTGCTGGTTAGGTGGGCTTCTAGATTATACTTTTGCCATCCTAGAGAAGTGAACAGGACATGGTGGGCATCCTCTAGCTTGCCCACAGGTTCCTGAGCTAGCAGTGGGTCCTGAAGCTGCCTAGAAGATACAGCTGTGGCTGTGTGGTTCAGACATGAGGAGGTATACACCCAGTAAGGCTGTGTCTCAGTGTCCTCAGGCCCAGGGCACCTGGTTCGTCCTAGGAGCTCCCTGGAGACAGGTGTAGGCCACCCGTAGGACAGAGCTGTTCATTTGGAAATCTCTTACAGATGTCGGGTGTAGCCTTAGCCCAATGACCTCAGAGAGAAGATAAGAAGGGAGAGTCTTTTTCTCTGTGGTCTGCAGTGCAGGGATGGCCATGGTATCACATGCTGAGGTTATTGGGGGCAGAAACCAAGTGCAAATGAAGGACACTTGCCTCAATCCCCATGGCTGTCCCCAGAGTCAATCCTATGAACATGACCCTCACTCCAGATCCATTCTCCTCCAGGGCCTGTCTGCTATAATGCCCCTTGTTCTTTCTGGAAAGCTACCCCAGGCCCTACCAGTGCTGGTCCTGTCTCCTGGCCAGCCCTTCCTCCACCCAACATGCCCTTACTCCTCCAAGGTAGAAGCAGCTGAGACATGGGTAGGGAGACTCCAAGAAGATGGAAGGGGACTTGGTTGGGGGGTGAGAATTCCTGGAGTGGTAGCCAGTTAGCTCAACTTGCCTGAGTACTGGACAGAGCAGAGGGTAGCCAGGGAGACCAAAGCCATAGATTCCTAGAAGCAAGGCAGGGGTCCAGGGCTGGGGGTGGGGATGAAGCCTATCCTGGGAGGGGTTCACATAGGCTGAACAAGCTTGTTGGCTTGTTGGGGCCATTCCAGTTGCTTCCTCACTGACTGTTCTTACCTCTCCACTTGTTCCTGCTACATCCAGAGGGCAGTTTTGAAATGCCAGCTTCAGGAGAGACTCCCTGTGTTGACACGGCTGCCCTAAGTTGTGCCCAGCCAAACCGATCTCTGCAACCATACCTAGGCTTCCACTCCATCACAGAGCCTTTTTGTTGTGCAGCCACCTCAGCCTCCTGGTCTGCTCCTCCTCCACCTCCTCCTCACTAGAGTCCCTGAGAAGTGCAGAACTCTCCTTGGTGTATCATGGACCAGGGGGCCAGTGCTGCTGCCCTGGGGCAGGTACCAAGGGGCCAGTGCTGCTGCCCTGGGGCAGGTACCAGGGGGCCAGCCAGTGCTGCTGCCCTGGGGCAGGTACCAGGGGGCCAGCCAGTGCTGCTGCCCCGGGGCAGGTACCAGGGGGCCAGTGCTGCTGCCCTGGGGCAGGTACCAGGGGGCCAGTGCTGCTGCCCCAGGGCAGGTACCATGGGGCCAGTGCTGCTGTCCAGGAGTGTGGGCACGTCCCTTACCTTTGTTTACATAGATTTGAGCTTTAGAGTCAGGACACAGGTCAGGTCTGGAGCTCCCCAGTCTATGTGAGGCACTTGGAGCCCCTGGTAATAGACCAAAGGGAGGACCGAAAGGCTCACTGAGCCCTTAGCCATCTCCATTGTCTTCTCTTCGATCCACTCATGTGGACTTGAGAAAAGACATTTCGCTATCCAAAGGAGCCCAGCAGCTGCCCTAGCCCTTCTGTTTCATCTTGAAGCTGCACCTGCCTAACCCATCAGAGAGGTTTGTCTGCAGTCCAGGCCCATGTCTCAGAAACACCCAGAGGTCAAGGGTCATCCCTGTGAATAGAGACTATCAAGGAAGCACAAAGACTGACCCCATTTTACATCCCGGGTTATGAAGCAGAGGGCTCTCTTCAGAGTGCTGTTAGGACTACCAGACAGTGCTGCAGATTCATGTGTAACTGTGTGGCACTGTGTTGTCCAAATGTGCAGCACATAGTCAAGTGGCCAGGCTGAGAGCAGAGGGCAGAGATGTTTCGGCAGCAAGGCCATTCCAGGGGACTCAGGACTTGGAGGACTTACTCTGCCATTCTTACAGCTTTTCTACAGGGAGATTTAAAAATTTCAAACAAATGGCTGAGGAGGAAGGAGAGGCCACCCTGCTTCCTGCTGCCTCTTGGGGACCAGCCCAGGCCTCCTGTCCAGCCAAAGGCAGCCCTGGCTTTCCTTCTAACAGATAGAAGGGTGAATTTCATCAATGCAGGAGAGTGCAAGGTTAAAATCTGACTTCTTAGACATCAATATCTAAAGTTTTTCCTCTTCTTTTCCCAGTGTTTCCCAAGTGCCATTGCCAGTCATGTGACAGCAGAGTGTCCCAGCAAGTGTTTGGTAGGTGAGGCCCATCCCTTCCATGGTGCCATGGATCACAGTTTGGGTGTGGCTGGGTAGGGGCTGAGGAGAAAGGCCATCAGGGCTGGGGGGAAGGACCGGGGTTGGCACACTACTCCGTAAAGGATCTGTGACTGTCCTGAAGGCCCAGTGACTAAGCTGCCGTCTGTGAAAACAAGAAGTGAGCACTTATGTTTGGAAGTCAAAAATTCCTGTGGCTAAGCAAGGGAAGGAGGAGGGTACAGTCCTTTAGCTTCAACCTGCGTCTTGTGGGGCTGGTTAGCTGTTAGCAACTGTTGGCCTTTGGCCTGATTGCTCTGGAAAATGAGTGTCCGCACTGGGTTGTATGACCCTGATGCATGGGGGCATTCAGGAGAACAGAGCTTAGAAGAGTGGGAGAGTTGAGTAGTGCCTAAGAGTGGATTTTCCAGAAGACTAGAAGCCTGTGTGTAAGATTCAAAAGTGGACATGTCATACACAACACAGTGAATGAATGGCCAGAGAGCAGAGCTAGAGCCACATACTGGTCTAGCTGCACAAATTCACACAGGTAAATACCGGCCACAACCACTACCCCTCCTCATCTGCTTCTTCACCAGGTAGAAGTGCTGATTGCCATCAGCAGCCTCACATCCCCACTGCTATTCACAGCATCTGGATATCTGTCCTTCAGCGTGATGAGAATTGTGGAGATTTTTAAAGATTACCCACCAGCCATCAAAGTATGTATTCATTCTATTTTGAAACTCTGGAAATGCAGGGCCACTTACTGATAGGCGTCTATGGGGGCAGCCACAGGGCAGATGCTGTATTCTGGGCAGGGGCCAGAACAAGTGGGTGCCCACCTGAACAGAGTGGCTTTGCACGGTCTGCTCTGGGCAGGGCGGATTGTGTTCAGAGTGAGTTGGGATCTAATTTGCTTGATTCATATTGGTTCTGTCCCCACTGACTGGCAGGCAGCTCTGCATTGGTTTCTGCCCACTGCTTTGGCTTTTCTTGCTTTGGGCCATTCTACCTGTCATAGCTCAGCCCTATATTAGGCCCCCCACTTCCTTCACCATGAACTTTGGGTTTCCTTTGTCTTCTGAGTAACCCCTCACATCCCAAGGCCAGTCATCGTCTTATTGGATACCCCATTGGAACCTCGGTCAGACTTACACCAAGTTATATAGACAGATTTGAGGATTGAGGGTGTTACGACTTTGTACCTTCCATGTGGGGTACTGCCCAATGAGACTTCGTTAGAGTCTCTCGGCACACTTCAGGACTCCTCCCTCAGCTCAGGCAGCTGGGTTCACATCTTAGATACTTGGCTTTCTTTTGTTTCCAACATAAGTGTTTCCCCCACAAGTCCACGATGAGAATCTCATATGCATATTAAAAGGGCAGTGCCGGGACTGGGAGAGATGGTTCAGTGCTTAAGAGCACTGGCTGTTCTTGCAGAGGACCCTGGTTCAAATCCCAGCACCTACATGGTGGCTAACAACCAACCACCTGTAACTCCAGTTCCAGGGGAGTCTGACACTCTCTTCTGATCTCTGTGGGCATTGTATAACACAGGTGCACTTACATACATGCAGACAATTCATTCATACACATAAAATTTAAAGATAATAAATAAAGGGGCTGGAGAGATGGCTCAGCGGTTAAGAGCACTGACTGCTCTTGCAGAGGACCTGGGTTCGAGTCCCAGCACCCACATGGCAGCTAAAAAAAAACCAAACTGTCCTTAACTCCAGTTCCAGGGGAATATGAAGCCCTCTTCTGACCTCCGTGGCATTGCATGACCTGGGTGCACTCACATACATGTAGGCAACACACTCATACACATAAAATAAAATATTTATTAAAGAAGGGCAGTGCAGCACCAGCAAGAGGCTCCAGCAGCTCATCTTTATGCACATACACTTACGCAGACAGCTCAGCCTTTCACCCTTCCACACTTGGGCAATCTAGAAAGTAAGAACTGTTCCCACACATCACAAATCCTATTGTTATATTTAAGATGGTCCAAATTATTATAAGCTATGGTTTAATATTCAGCCCACATTGATCTTCACGAACTGTCTCATATCGGGACACCTTGCACTTTGGTCTGTTTAGTTTGAGAAACCTCATCTCATGATGCTGACTGTCTGGGACATGGCCACACCTGTACATCTGTTTCCAGTGTTCCTGGGGAGCACAGAGCCCTGGCAAGGTGTAAGTCACTGTGGTACCAGGTTCTGACTCTGCAGCTCATCTGTCCCCAGCACCTTCCCCTGGGCTAATGTCAATGCTGATCCTTGCCTGCAGAGTGAAGAAAAGGTAAAGCCAGGGGCTGGAGAGATGGCTCAGTGGTTAAGAGCACTGACTGCTCTTACAGGGGAACCTGGTTCAAATCCTATCACCCACATGGCAGCTAACACCTGTCCCTAACCAGTTCTTGGGGACTCCCTCTTCCGACTTCAGTGGACACTTCACAACATGGGTCCACTTACATACATGCAGTCATACACATATAAAAATAAAGTAAAATTTAAAAAATGGTTCATCTTTTTAAAAAAAGTAAAGCCAAGTTCCTTTGCTACTCTTGACCTGGCATATTACAAGACAAATGGCTTCAGCTGAATAGCATTGAGGACTCTTACAGCTTCCATGTTCCCATCCCTCTTTCCACGCTGGACTTGACCCAGAGTGACCAGAGGGGTACCTTCCAGGTATATGATCTTGTGAAGGTCCATCCGTCTTTCCAGGCTTTGGCTTTCTGATCTTGTCCCAGACAGGAGCAGGGCACAAAGCTCGTTATCTGCCCATATGCTCTCCCTACCTCAGGCCACGTCTTCCAGTGGGCAGAGCTGGAAAGAGAATTGTGTACAGCTTATGCATTCAGACCGTTTCCAATTCAAATTTAACATTCTGGAGTTTTTCCTGAGTTCTTTTACTTTATATTTCCATCTCTTTGCTTCTACTCTAAACCTGTTGTCTCTAGTAAAATTTAATATACTTTCTTTTTTGTCCTACAATAAACATAGAATGTCCCACAATGATAAGAAACCAACATTGCTACCGATAGCTTCTGATCTAGCTGAAGTTTTCTTTTGTGCTTAACATTAACCCCACTGAAGAGTGGCCCTCATGTGCTGTATGGAATCCCCTTTCTGTGTGTGGTTTTGCTGTTGATTTGATATGTAGTTAAGTGGTTTCTGGTTGTATTCGGTATTAGGGTTTGTTTCATTTTGCATTTTTAATGATATTTTAAAGACATTAAGCATTACAGTGCACAAAAGACAGCGCTGTACAAAAGGTAAACTTGGGGAGCCGGGGCACCAGCATTCTTTCTTGCCCCTTTGCCTACTACTGTACTTTGTGACAACTTTCCCTCTTCCCTACAAAGCAGGTTGGGTGCTCTAATCACTATTCTGTGCCATAGGTCATTTTTGAGTGCAATAATTTTATTCAGGTGTTTTAGAAACACCCAGAGAGAGCACAGTTCTTCTGTGTTTTCATTATTCTGTACAAATGGGACCCCAATGGCCTGACCAGTCCCTAGCGAGAGAAGCTGGATTATTTCTGCTCTTATGAATAATTGCGATGATTAGCCTTTACACACACCCCAAGTGAGTCTGAGTGGCGTACCTTGAAGATGAGCAGCTGTAGAGGGACTGTGCAAAGGGCAGGTGCATCAGTGCTGTGGTTGCAGTGTGGCATTGGCAGAAGCTCCATCACTGTGCAGCCTGCTGCAGGGCGTGTGGTACAGTGCTGTAGCTCAGACGAAGGCAGGGCGTGTGGTACAGTGCTATAGCTCAGACGAAGGCAGGGCGTGTGGTACAGTGCCATAGCTCAGACGAAGGCAGGGCGTGTGGTACAGTGCTATAGCTCAGACGAAGGCAGGGCTTGTGGTACAGTGCTATAACCCAGACAAAGGTTGAAAGGGTGTGGCTTTCAATAGTGGTGGGGAAGACCTTTAGCTGGTCTCTCAACGTTGGTGTTTCTTGCTCAATAAACCTGGCTCAGGTCTTTGTCAACTTTCTACTGGGCTTTGGAGAATGCTCCAGGTGCTGGTAGGCATCCTGTACAAGCTTGGCACTGCTGTTACTTCTGCTGGGGGTTCCTGTCTGTCTGCTGACTGGATCACTCTTCTCCTGAACTGCATCAGGATTCACCAGTAAGATTTCTAGCTGGGATTTTCCAGAGCACAGCAAAGTCACGGACCCAATTTGATCTTTTCTCAAGATGCTTCACCTCTGAGTTCATCTGTATAAAAACAATCCTTCCCCTATTCTTTGCCACTCTTTCTCACAGGCCATGCTCCTGCCTGAGGTCCTCTTCTCACTTCCCATTCTCTGTACTAGCCTGTCACCATTCTCTGGGACCTTCTCTTTCCCTTCCTGACAGGACTAGGCATCTGAGTGTAGTGCGCCTCTCTTCAGGGCACACAGATTTCAATCTTGTTTACTCTTACATATGAATTTCAGCTCCACATACCTGGCTCCATAACTGTGGCATTTTATTTATTTTTTTATTTTGGATTGGTTCTTTTAAGACAGGGTCTTAATAACTAACTTGCTATGTAGTCCAGGTTAGCCTTGAACTTGAGATCCTCCTGCCTCAGCCTCCTGAGTGCTAGGCTCATTGGTTCACTCCATCCCTGGCTCATGTCCTTTTTGTATTAACATTTAGTTGCTGTGGGTTTACTTGGGCTCTTGTTGATGGGCATCCATCTGAAATCTTTGTGGATGTTTCTGCGGCACTCCTTGCAATGTGGAAATGCATTCTGCTTCTTCTGGCCTCTGGGCTCTTAGGACCAGGACTCTTCCCCTATCTTCCTGCACTCCCTGTTGCCACTTCATCTCCAGCAATTGGTGCTCAGGTTATTGTGCTGGTGGGTGTGGACCCATGGAGTTCCTTCATCCAAGGGCCCTGCAGAGCCAGCTGCACCAGTTTCAGGGGTTTCGTGCAGATATATAATGGGAAGGTTTGGTCACATCTGCTCTGTGCACACTCTCAGCATGTTTGGGTTTCCAGGGCAGAGGTCAGTGGGTGCTTTGGCTCTATGGGAAGCCTCAGGTAAGGGGAGTATGTGTAGGCATTGACTTGATCAGACTAGGTCTATTCATGCCTCCTCCTGCCCTCACAGTCCTATGATGTGCTCCTGCTGCTGCTGCTGCTGGTGCTGCTGCTTCAGGGAGGCCTCAACACAGGCACTGCCATCCAGTGTGTGAGCTTCAAGGTCAGCGCCCGGCTGCAGGCTGCATCCTGGGACACCCAGACCTGCCCACAGGACCGTCCAGCTGGGGAGGTGAGTAGACTACTCTCCCAAAAAGCCCCATCCTGGGTCCTCAGAGCCTCCTGTGAGGTGATAGACCCCTGCACTGATGTGCTCCAAGAATTATCATGACACTTTGTGGGGTTTTTTATTTGCATTTTTTAAACTCACTAGAAAAATCTAGAAATAAAATTTGGAATACATTATTATTACGTGACTAGGTGAATACAAACCCATTCATGAAAAATACTATAGTCGAAGGGCTTTCAGTTCTGCTTTTACAGACACAGGCCAACGCCTTCAAAGTTACCACAGAAGGTTCTGGCTCTGCAGGGGAGGGCTGCCCCAGCCTGGCATGTGAAGCTCCCCAAAGCTAGGCATTCCTGTTCTGTGGTCAGTGGGCTAGGGGTGGCCAAGCCACAGTTTTAAGGATGATGCTCTCCCTGCCTCCGTCCTGAATCCTGATGTCCCCACAACCTCAGTTGTGAAGGCCACCAGCTTCTCCCTGGACCTCCTGTCTCTGCAGTGTCTTCCTGGACAGACTTGCTTGCTGCCCTCAGAGTAATGACCACAAAGTATCTGGCTGTTCTGTACCCAAGGATATGTCCTGGCAGGTCTTGGCTGGCAGGCTCCTAGCTTTGTTCTGGGCCCAAAAAGAAGTCCACCTGGTTTTGTGTCCTGACTAGCAGGTCACAGAGCCAGATGAATAAATTGCTCTTGCCAGATTCCAGATTCTAGAACTCTCTATCCTAGGGGCTTAGATTGGGTCTCCAAGCCAGCAGCTACATACAGTACCTCATATCTGGGGCATGTGTCAGTTTTGCCTCGGCTGTCCATTTCCTTTGCTGCTGGGGACATACCTATCTTAATGCCTGCCCTGCTCCACACCTACAGAGACTGTGGGAGGGGATGTGGGATCTCTAAGAGGCTCTGTCCCTTCTCTGGTCCCCTCATTCTTGCACATGTAGAGACGTCTCCAGACAGGATCGTGTCAGATCCTGCTGCACAGGCTGGGCTGCATCTGTCTTCCTGCCAGGTGTAGCCCTGTTGAGGAAACATTGTCCTTGTCTCTCTCACAGGTGGTCAGAAGCCCCCTGAAGGAGTTTGACAAAGAGAAAGCCTGGAGAGCCGTCGTGGTGCAGATGGCCCAGTGACTGCAGGATAAGGAAACTGAGTCACAGTGTTCGCCTGGACCCCAGCATGTTCACCTGCACAGACACTAACCATACTGCACCTACTGCTTCCTGACATCCTTGTTCCCTCCTTGGAGGGCAGGCCAGGCTGCGAAGTGGTTTTCATTTCTTATAATAGTTTAACTTTGACACAGGAAAATGTTAACTGTTGTACCCTGTCAGATGGGTCAGCTCAGGGCTTCTCAGGTGGCCCTGCTGCCTGATCAATCCTTGTGTCCCAGCCCTTTTCACGTCCTGATTTGACCCTCACTCATCCAGTGTCTGATGTCTTGGTTGAACTGGGGCATGTCTATGTCTTTGCACACTTACCAAACTGCAGGGGCATGAGAATCACATTGGCTTTGATTAAAATCATGGCCACTACCAACTCCCCGTCCCCCAAAGGACACCTAGATTCTCCCAGTTGACAAGGGCACCAGTGAATCCACAGTGAGTTTGGCATCTTGTAAAACAGGAATTGTTTTAGGAATGGCTTTCCAGATGGTGCTTTCACTGAGGCTGCACCTCAAAGCAGTTTTGTTTCTCCTCCTATCAGAGGTAAGCAGCAACAGGAAGACGGTGCTCCCTACTCAGCCCAGCTGTCTCACCAGTTGGTTCCAGGAAGGCTAGTGGTAAGGCTGGAGGTGGATTTTGTATTCCAAGGCCCCAAAAGACTAATAGACTTGGGACTTCAAGACAGGGTGGAGCTGCCAGGGCCAGGGAGATAGGAAAATTCTCCCAGGCGTCTCACTTCTAAACACAGGTGACCCTGACTACCAGAACTGATGAAAAGTGTGGTCATTACTTTTTCAGTCAAACAAGTATTCAGGTGAGACACCTGGAAAGTGCAAAGCAAGGGAGCTCTGTCTTCATCCTGGGAGAGGCTTTCTGTCATCTTCATCCTCCAGAGCTCTAGAGGGCTGGGCCATGGCCTAAACAAGCACCATGAGAGGGGAGGTGACACTAACCTGCCCTTGTGCAGATCCCATTGGTCTTTGGCCTCCTGAAGCTCTGCACCTCGCTACTGGGTGGGGAGAGAGCCGTGGGCAGGCCACTGGACTGGCTAGGACACTCAGGGCCGGAATGAGGCAGGAGGAAAGTTGATGCTGGCTTGCATGTTCTAATTTTAGAGAGCTTAAAACAATTCATACAAATGGAGTTTAAAAACTGTCTCTTGTACACTTTTGTTTGGCATAGTTTAATATACTTGAGCAATAAAATGCTAACATGCAAATGTGGTCGAAGCCTGTTAGATGCTTCTGGAAAATAATGATGCAAAGCCTGACTGTAGATGGAGTTGTGTAACCAAATTTATTTTTTGCTTGATTTGTGTAACCCTTGGAGGTGTGACCCTCTTGATTTGTGTAACCCTTGGAGGTGTGACCCTCTTGATTTGTGTAACCTCAAAGGCCTTAGTGAGTAAAGACAAAAGTGAATGGAAGATACCACAGGCCAGGCCAGGGAGAGCAAAACCTCTGAAATACAGAAGCCTTTGAACCACATGAAGGTGGCCTGCTTTGAGGTCACAAGCAGTGAAGACTCTGGTGGATGGGTGGGTGGGTCTTCCTAAACAACCCCAAGATGCCACATGGGGAGGCCAGATGAAAAAAGGAACCCATCTGGTGAGGCCCGGGTGACAAGTGACACTGGCTGTGAACACCAAGGGCACAGCACAGTACCCCACGCATGACACTGGGAGTGCCAGGGCTGTTCCAGGCTCCTCTGGGGACAGAGCCTACCCTGGCCACCCCAATCAGAAGGGAACAGTCTTCTGGCAAGGCCACAGCGCTGTGCAGAATGCTTGCCGGGATGAACCCTGGCCCCATACCCACCTATGCAGCGAGGGAGCCTGGGGAGAGGGTGGGGCCGGGTGTGACCCCTGGTCTTTGTGACTTGGTGGGGGCTGAGCACCAGGGTAGTCTGTGTGACCCTGACAGCTGCGTGGGGTAAGTGGAGCCGCAGCAAGTGGCGGGAGACACGCATGGCCCAAGGGTGGGAGGCCCCAGTCCCCACCCCCGCCCGGGTCACGCCTTGGACCGCAGGTGGGGACCAAAGGCAGAACCGGAGCCCAGCACAGGCACCTGCGAGCCGGCGCTGCTGGTGTCCCCTGCGCGCCGCCCCCCGCCAGCTCCCCCGCCCCCGCCGCCCGCGCCCACGAAGCCCCACGCCCCGGGTGGGACGCCGTGCCACTCGCCGTGGGCCTGGCTGCCAGAGCCGGGGGTCTGCACAATGCGCCGCCCAGGCAGGGTCCGTTGCCCCGGACAACCGCAGGACGCCGGGCCGAGCTACTCAGGGCTGGAGCACCCGGCATGCTGCATGCAGGGCGGGTCGCAGGTGAGCACCCGACTTCTCTCTGACCCAGCGAGACCTGTCCTCGCTCGGACCCAGGCCCCCCTCCCCCCCTGTGCTCCGACCCCCGCCCCGCCCCTCCAAAGGAACCCCAGGCCTCGAGAACTTTCCCACCCCAGCCCACTACCTGTCTGCTTCCACCCCACCCCGCCTGCTAGACCTGCTTTCCCCTACCTTCCCACCTGACTTCAAAACGCCATAAGCGCTTGCCCTCCCTAACCCCAAGTCTGTGCCCCTACCCCCATCTCTCATTCTTACCCCTAGACCTGTACGCCGCCTCTACTCCCCCTATTCGGACTTCACATCTGGTCCCTAGACTCATCATCCCTGGACCTGATCTGTCTCCTTACTCCTGAGCTGTCAGCCTAGCCCAATCTCGCTATGTTGCTCCCCACAAGTTCCCTCCCGCCACTGACCTTCCTCCCCACCTGACCTCTGCTTCTCACCCCCAGACCTGTAGTGAAGCCCGTGACCTGTCCCACTACCCCAGACCTCCCCTCCAGACCTCCCTCCCCCTCCACGCCCCCTCCTCCCTGGCGTGCCTGACCTCTCCACCCTTGATCGCAGGGTCCGGGGGACAGAGGAACCAGCTACAGGAAGCAGGCATGGAGCTCGGCGGGAGAAAGAACCTGTCTTCCACTTCTTCAGATGGAGACCGCAAAGAAGAAAATAGTGTGTACCGGATGTCCCGGGGTCTCTTCCAGGGCTCTCCCAGCTGTAGGAGGGAGAGGGTGGATGGGGTCAGGGGGTGACGGAGGCCCTGAGGGTGGGACTCGTGAAGGAGGTGCAGGTTGTGCAGCCCCTGAGCTTTGTTCTGGCTTCTGAGGACTGTGGGAGATCACAGGTGTTGGTGCTGAGAGGCTGTTCTGGTGGCTCCTGGTTGAAAACCTGTGCTTCCCTGTAGCCTAGTGGGTTCCTGTACTTACACTTTGATTGGCAAATAGCTAAAATAAGAATAAAACCGTGGTGTCATGGATGGGGTACACTTAGTTTTAGAGAAGGCAGTTCAGGCTTACCCACTGGGGTATACCAGGTCTGCCACACAGCTGGACTTGCCATTTGGGGCCTTCTGGTGAATGCTACCAGGCTTGCTCTGGGTTTCAATTTGTATTTCTTTTACATCCACTGTCTTGGCCATTATTAAGGTGGGTTTTACTGGTTTGTAAGAATTTCTCATACATTCTTGAATACCAGTTTTGGTTCAGATCAATGTATTATAGCTACCCACGGCGGGAGAGGGGTGCACTGCTGGAGAGGTGCTAAGTAGTTAAGGGTGCATACTGCTCTTCTGGAGGACCCAAGTTGGGTTCCCAGCACCCACATCAGGCCTGTAACTACAGCTCCAGGTAATCGGAGGTCCTCTTATGGCCTTCATGGGCACTGCACGCACAAGCGCATACCCACACACAGACACATATATACACAAATGAAAAATAAAATCTCTAAAAATAAATACTCATGAGGATATATACATTTCAGATTTCAGTCTTAATTACTACTTCCATAATCAGAACTTCTGGTTTTAGTGATGCCTAATTATCAATCTTTTCTTATATAGTAAGTGCCTTTGTGTCCTATTTAAGAAAATGTCTACTCCCTTGTCCCTTAAGCAGTCTTTTTCCTTTTAGAAGCTTTATCATTTCACCCCTCAAATTTCAGGTTCACAACCTGATGGGATGGAGTGAGACAGGCCTTGATATTTCCTGCACCCCAGGTTTGAATATCAGTGGCTTGGCTTCTCCTAGCAATATCGCTTTGCAGTTAACTGGGTGTAGGTCCGCTCTGGGGCTCCCCATTCTGTTGTACTTGTCTTTCTGCCCGTCCTTATTCTATGCCAGTGTTTTCATCCCCAGTGACTTTATAATAAATTAAAAATGTGATGGTATAAATCCTCCGACCTTGTTCTGCAGGGTTGCCCAGGTTCCCTTTGACTTTTGCACTGCTGTATAAATTTTAGGCTCACATTAACTGACATAAATGTACCTATCCTGTTAGGACTGTAGCTCTTGTTTACATTGGATTTATGGATTAATTTGGAGGAAGAATTAACATCTTAACAATATCAAATATTCTAAAAACTGAACATTTAGTTGTCTAATTCTTTTCAGCACTGACTAGTTATTTTCAGGATGTACAATACATCTTTTGGTAGATTTACTTCTATATACTTGATGTTTTTAAATGCTGCTATAGATGACAGGTTTTAGTTTCATTTTCTTTTGTGTATGTGTATATGTGTGTGAGTACACTGTGTGGAGGCCAGAGGTTGGCACCCCTCACTGAACCTGGAGCTCACTGATTCAGCTAGATTGACTGGCCAGCAAATCCCAAGCATCCTCCTGCCTTTGCCTCCCTGGGGCTGGAATTAAAGTGTGGGTTGCCACGCCTGGCTTTTACATGGGTGCTGGGGACCAAACTCAGGCCTCGTGCTCGTACAACAAGCATTTACCAACTGAGCCACGTTGAGTTTCATTTCCTAATCATTCTGGATATGTGGCAATTTCTATTGATTTTCAAGTACTGACTTGATATTTGATGACCTCACTAAATATGTTTAGTAGTTCTAGTAAGATTCAGATTTTCCACATGAACAACCTATAAATCTTTTCAATCCATAGACCTTTTGTTTTCCTTTCTGGCATTATGGCTTTGGCTACTGCTTGGTATTAACCCTGACTAGAAATGGTATAGTAGGTGTTTTCATTCCTTCCCAAACTCAAGGGAAGAGAGTCTGATGTTCTGTGAGCTCTAGGAGAAGCTATCTTTCACTGTCACCTTTAACATTTTTTAAGTGTGTGCAGGTCTGTGTGCAGAAGCCAGAGGAAGGTGTCAGATCCCTCAGAGCTGGCGTTACAGGCCTTTGCAAGACACCTTGTAAGGTGGTGCTGGGATCCGAAGTTTGGTCCTCGACATTATGCAGCAAATGCTCTTAACCACTGAGCCATCTCTCCAGCCTCTGAGATTTATTTATTTATTATTTATTTATGTATATGAGTGTTTTTGCCTGCTTGTATTTAGTGCAGTACATGCATGCAGTGTCCTCTGGAGGCCAGAAGAGGGAGCTGGATTCCCTGAAACTGGAATTACATACAGTTGTTAGCTGCCACGTGGGAGCTGGGAACTGAACCTAGGTCCTGCAAGAACAGCAAGTGCTCTTAACTGTTGAGCCATATCTCACCAGCCCCAACCTTAAAATTTTTAAGTAACAATTACCACATGTTGTTGTGTGCTTTCTTCTCCATTTATTGAGGTGATAGTGTTACTCCCCCTTCATCTATTAATGTGGTAGATTACGTTAACAGCTTTTCAAATAATGCTAAACCAACTTTGCATTCTTGAACTAAACTCCATGTAGTCACGTTATTTTTTCTCTCTATCACTGGATTTGATTTACAAATTTATTTAGGGCTTTTATATATATTGCTATGAGAGAGATTGCTCTTCATGGTTCCTTCCCTGTAGTGTGCGTCTCAGGTTTGGGTAGTAAAGGGTTAGCCTCATGGTTTGTATAAATGGGTATTTTCTTTTTCCTCTAAGTATTTGGAAAGACTGACTTTGTGCTACCATCTATACTTGGAGTTTTCCTTTTGGATAATATTTAATTATGGAACTAATTTCTTGAACAGAAACAGGCTGATCTGATATTCTGTTTCTTTTATACTAGTTTTCTTTTATTTGCATGTCAGAGAACATGTGCATTTCATATGAGCTATCAAATAAAATTGTAATACCTTACTATCCACACGGTCAGTGGCAATATCTCCTTTTTAATTCTTGACATTAGTAATTCATGCTTTGTGTCTCTTCTTGATCAGTGTAGGTAAAGGTTCGTCAGTTTTCTTTCCTCTTTTTTCCAGAGCTGGGGCTCTGTCTTACAGTCTCATACATG